GAAGAGAAAATCATGCATCGCGAGTGAACTGAAGAAGGTAGGCAGATTGCTCTGGTCAGCCCACGTACTTTGAACGCCGGACTGTGCCCGGCAGAGCACCTTTCACTGAAGCTGAAACAGGCAAAGGGAAGTCGTATAGTCAACTGGCCAGTAAATTTGATGTCTTTCATTATAAAACGTGATCACGCTGGCACGTAGACCCTGAAAAAGGTTACATCACTGAATCAGTCAACGACGAATCTAGTGGGATTTCTGCTACACCCAGTGAACACTTCAACATTCCCATCGAGCCCCACACTAGCAGGAGGTGCCTCAGCCCACACCCCATCGGGACGGTTTCCCAACCTCTGTTACGTTTAACGTACAATCCTCTCTCCCCAAGCCACCAGTAATCAATAATTTTGGTAGTCATGCTAACGAGGCTTATGGCGATGGTCAGGAACCCTGGAAGACCCCAACAACATGGTTTGTTTTCACGCGCAGCGCAAAGCTGAGCCATTTCCCCACTAAACTCTAATGCTGAACTTCCTTGTTCCAGTTTTGAATTCCAAGCAGTCCGACTTCACTTTGGTCACGGAAGCGCAAGAGACGAATGCCGGAATTTCGAGAAAACATGCGCGATCGATTTTGTGTGGTTGCGCGACCCAGCAACACGAGTGTTTTGAGTATCTTGGTGTCGAAACTTGCACGCAAAGCCCGACCTATTACAAGCCGGAAGTAGGTACGATTTGTGTGCGCACGCTGAACGAGATTTAAGAGATCAGTGTGCAGAACGGTCAAATAATTTTGCCGAGCAGAATGGCATCACACGGATGACAGTTCGTGGAGACGAAAGATGAAACAACATTGCATAAAATAATACAGTTAGCCCGATAGTCGAGATCTCGGGTCACTCTGCAAATCACCAGGAAAGGCCAGAGGACTAGAAAACACCAAGCGATAGTGCAACCGCCTTGTGAATGCGACCAAGCACTTGGAGGAGTTAGACAGGGGATATTTTCACTCTGTTGGAACGACCGTGAAATTACTGAACTCTCAGAACATCATTCTGAGAGTAGTCCACCTGAGCAGAATCAGTCACCCGGATCTGATCCATGTTGAGAGGACGGGGCGGTCACACTCGGGACATCTTCCGTCTAACACATGAGAAAGTAATACTGTACGCAGCAGAATCTACTCAATGCATCAATCGAATGCAATGAATGCATACTACAACGCAACACAAATTGAAACGAACCACTGGGATTCTTAGAAGAATGTGCTCCAGTCAGCCAACCACAACAATATACATCAGTTAGTCTTTAACAACTATATGAATTCAAGTAGGTAAGGAGGAACTAACCCCCCGACTAGGCCCTGCTGATGTCACCTCCGTCGGCTACGGAACGCTTGTGAGCTAATTGCCAAGCTCGGCGAACAGATTAACCAACATGTGACTCCAGCTTTGATAGCCAAAATGTACGGCGGCGAAGCACCAGTGTTGAACACTGTTCATGATGGTGATCTGCCATGACACATTGAATCTGCCACCCTACTCTACAATACCTAAAGTATGATGAACGTCGTCACCGTTGTGAAGCTGGGACAGCTTTGTTAGGAGTTCACCAGAGTTACAAAGTTGTGGGATGAGGAAAGAAACATTCATTTGAATGAAAAGTTGTGCGAGATCCCAGTGTAGACCCTTTTACTCACTCAAGCGTTGAAGTTCATAAAATACACCACAGACGCCGTCCACCGTGCTGATATAGCGCAGCAACTATGATGTTCTGATGTGATACAAGCAATTACCTGCGGAAGTCACCAGAACAAACACCGTAGCGAACAAGACCTAGTTTCCGCGACTGTTATCGAGCTTAATCAATTGACAGGATGATAACCAGTAGTCACAGGTGGATAGGGTAACTGACGCCAGTTGGTCATTCACTAGTGGGTTGTTACTGCCAAACTTGAGAGTGGAGCTGGGCAGATTGGAGGCCTAAACCATCTCAAAGTGTGTATCAGCAGTTTGTGAACACGGGATTCTGGTCGCATATTTCCACGGCCTATGTAACCGGTATTAGTCTGAATTCAGACCTAGTTCGATTGCTGACACGAAATCCAACGGCCTCCGTACCACGCTCAAGATACGGCTTAGGCCCTGTGGAAGGAGTACATATGGGGGAGAGTGACCATAGGGGACAACACTTAACTGACCCTTCAAAAGGGAATGACTTCCAGCCGGTCTCCTTGAAGTGGGTTACTCTAGAGAGAGGAAAATAAACTTTGAAGGAGAGATCGCTTTTGAATGGTTTTTAGAAATCGTCCTCCCGCAGCAGGTCTATAAATTTCTCCTGTATCTGGGGGCCGCGTGTAGAGACCCACCAAACATGACCCAAAGTAGAACCAACAAGGAGCATCTCCCAAGGAACGTCCTCCACAGACATAAATCGAAGCAGTTACGCCTTGCACAAGCAAATCGCGTTATGGGGCTCCAAAAAATCGGAGGAAAACCCTTGCGCTG